AAGACACTTCTCACAAAGACCAAACAGTCATTCAGCCAACATGTGACAGGCTCACAGAAGCCACAAAGCCTCAGAGAAATGAACAACCTCATCAAAGAGCAATCAGGGCACATACACAGACACCAGCAGGACAGGGCCTTGGAGAGCTACCCAGTGGGCAAGAACTTGAACTCGGGCAAAAGGCACTTGATGGGAGATGTACACAGGCATGGAGTTAACTAGTGAATGAAAGTGTAGAGGGCTGGGAATGCACATGGATGACCTTTAAATTAATGTCAGCTGAGTCTGCGGTGACTGGCATGGCCGTTCCCCGGAAACAGCCTCCCAAAATGTGGGAGACTGTTATCAGTACTGATTTATCTTTATCCGTGTGCTTGGAATGAGGACCTTGACTTACCAGGTCTTGATATGCTACATCCCAGGAATGGGGAATGAACAGGACATGGGCACCCCCAAAACTTCTTTGACCTTAAACCCCCCTCTGGAAATCAATAAATGCGCTGTGTGGTCTGTGGTGGGGGTTGACTGTCCCTCCATCAGAGTGACAGCCTCCACCCGGCTCCCAGCTTGATAAATCTATTTCTGCCTCTTGTCTCTTTCTTTCTTTTATTTCTTAACCCACAGCCCCTCCACTCAGGAACCTGACCTTCTCCCTTTCCGTGCGGGACGCGGAAAAAGGAGAAGCACCCACCGCACCAAAGACCCATGTACCAATGCTCTGTCTACCGGCTGTGGGGTGCTTCCCAATTATCCTTAAAAATAACCTTGAGCCGGGACCGGTTTGGCTCAGTGGATAGAGCGTCGGCTTGGGGGCTGAAAGGTCCCGGGTTCGATTCCGGTCAAGGGCATGTACCTTGGTTGCGGGCATATCCCCAGTAGGGGGTGTGCAAGAGGCAGCTGATTGATGACTCTCATCAATGTTTCTAACTCTCTCTCTCTCTCCCTTCCTCTCTGTACAAAATCAATAAAATATATATATTTTTTTAAAAAATAACCTTTAATGATCTGGAGAGTAGGATGCTCAGTGAAAAATTACACTGATCCAAGTTCAACTCATTAAGATGCACTCTTTCCACTTAAAAACACACAGCATCCATTCTGCTTACATGGAATAGCAAAGCCCTGAAATCTTGCTGGAGGCCTATGTCCTAGCCTCAATAATCCACACGCCCAACCCTCCGGAGTATTCAGCCTTTCTGCCAACGTGGTAGGAAAGAACAGTAGATGCCCGGCCGGTTAAGCATCAACCTAGGAACCAGGAGGTCAACAGTTTGATTCCTGGTCAGGGCACACGCCTGGGTTGTGGGCGTGGTCCCACATGGGGGAGAGGGGTGCAGGAGGCAGCCAGTGAATGCTTCTTCCTCATCATCATTGATGATTCTCTCTCTCTCCCTTTCCCTTCCTCTCTGAAATAAAAAATACTTTTAAAAAAGAACAACAAATAAATATCGCACAAGAAGACACTTACTCCAGGACACCAGACAAGGTGGAGGGAGGTTGGCTGTTAGGAGCTGGCAGTTGTCAGTGCCGCAGAAAGCAGGGGAAGGCTCCTTCCCCTGACCTTTAGGCTCATTAAAGCCTCATTCGAATTTCCTGTCACTCCACCCATTTATCTTAAGTGAGATAAATCAGTAATCTCTCTGGCCACATAATTAGATCTTTTTTTTTTTTTTTTTTTAAAGAACTTTAAAAACCAAGAGGTAGTCAGCTGAGTTTTCCAAAACATGGCACTTCTTTCATTAGTCAAAATAAAAAAAGAGAAACACTGTACTTCCCTAGGCCAGCTGCATGAGTGCAGCTTAGGCTGGATTTAACGATCTATTGACAATGACAGGGCCAACGCAGACTTTTCACAAAATAAGGTTTAAAACTGTCCATTCAGCATTTCTTCTCTATAAACACAAGAGAGACAGACGGTCATTTGCTTTTTACTCACGATGTCCCAAAACTGGAAAAAAAAAAAAAATTCAAATTCTAAGTTTTTTTTACATTGTGTCAAAATTATCAGTTTACAGGGGTAGTTGACACTAATAAAATGTACAACCATGTAACCAACTTTTTCAATGTTTCTAAAAGCAAAACGACTTCTTAAAAAAGACAAAAGGCTACCCATACAGTCAAAGGTTTCTGCCCAGGTAAAATACATTTTAATAGTCTAGGGGCTGAATAAACATATTTTAAATGGTTAGGACCTAACCAACTGAGCATCCAACATCATAATTCTGTTCCTACATCACCTTCTAATTTCTTATTACTTTAACTTTTCCCAAATCCTTTTTTTTTTTTCCTTTATTTCTTTCTTAAGCCTCACCTGAGGGCATTTTTCCCCACTGATTTCTAGAGAGAACAGAAGGGAGGGGGAGAGACAGAGATAAACACGAATGTGAGAGAGACACATCCCTCCTGAGCCCCGACCAGGGATTCAAGCCTACAACCAAGGTTTCTGCCCTTGACCAGAACTGAACCCACAACCCTTCAGACTGCGGGCTGACGCTCTAACCACTGAGCAACCGGCAAGGGCATTCCCAAATCTTTTGGAAATGTGGCAAATACTAGCAGATGATGGCTATCACAGAAAAATATGAAAAAAGGAAATATGTTTTTTTTTCCTTGCTGTCTTAATGCAATGAATGTACTATAATCACCTTTTTCTATAGATTTTGTGCCCTCTACTACTTTCAGAATAGAAGCCTAAACAAAACAAAAAGATAACTTATTTCTCTGCCCATCAATACAATAGAAATAGACAGTCTACATTATCAAAACGCCTGGTAATTTGTTCCTATTCAACATGTAAGGTAATTTACAATTTTCAACCATTTCTTTGTTGAGAGGAAAAAAACCCCATCTCTTTCTTGGAGCCTGGATTGCAAACCAGGTGTGCCTCCTTTAACTGGCTGGCAGGCCAAATGATAACAAGAGAATGGACCTGTTTGGGGAATTTTTGACTATTACCAAAAATAAACAGCTGAGGTTAGGGGGGAAAAAATTCCAGCCTCACTGTTTACTCCTCAAAGTTCTTGGAATTCCTCTGCACAGATCGTTACTTGGCCAATAACCTATGCCTTTCTCTTTGTTGCTAATAACCTCAGCTGTATGAATGTTCCATCTGGATTGAGTTGGCTTTCGTTAGCTCCTTCAATCAGCGACTCTGTGAATATGTAACCCTCAACCACTTCATTCAGCTTAGACAATAGAGAAGGGTCTGCTTTCAGGAAGAAAATACATTGGCAAATATAAAACGAACTGAAGCATCTACCAAAGCCTCGGACTGTGAGAAGACACCAGATAATCAATCATACAGAATGGGCAGCTCAGTTGACAGGTAACTGAATACGATGGCTTTTTGTCAAGTTGAAGAATTAAACTCAGCCTAGATCTAGGGCAAAGGGAAGATGTTACCTTCGGAAATATTGGTGTCGGGTTCCTCCCCGATACTATGACAAAGATCACAGTGGTACAGTCTTCTGTTCCATCCCCGCTCAGGGTGCTGGGTGTGGGGGACCGAGGCGAGTAGCTGGCAATGATACTATCATTGGGTTTGTCCTCAGGACGCCTGGAATGTTGTGAGCCAAGCCTGTGCTTCACAAATATCTAAGTTGTTTAAAGAATTGCTCCAAAGAATGCCTTCACATGTGGGAAATGGACATAGTCCAAACTCAACGCTCAGGAAGCCAATTAACCAGAATCAGAAGTCCCAGACAACGTGTTCTGTGTTCTCCCATTCTTTACAATGATGTGTGTAGATAGATAGGTAGATAGGTAGGTAGGTAAGAAGGAAAGAAGGAAGGAAGGAAGGAAGGAGGAAGGAAGGAAGGAAGGAAGGAAGGAAGGAAGGAAGGAAGGAAGGAAGGAAGGAAGGAAGGAAGGAAGGGAGGGAGGGTGCTGGAAAACATTTCCCAGAGGAGAAAAAAATTATTGGCAATATTTTATCTCTTCTCTCTTACAAAGTACTTCCAAAAAGCTCCACTCTCTTAACACTTCCACAAACAAACAAACAAAAAAAACAAAAAAACACCTTAAGACATCTGTAAAGCGCCTAATTGCCAGGAAATACCCGAGGAAAGTCCCCTGAGAGGTCTCAGTAGTTCCTGCCCATGAGTGTGGTGAGTGAAACTGTGATCCCAGGAGTTAGTCATGCATGACAGACTGAAAGTTTTGTCTTCACTAATTCATCATTAATATCAGTATCATTGTCTTCATTAATCCAAGCCCGATTACAAAACATTCTTCTCTGAAATTTCTTAGGAAAAGTGAGCTATACTTTCTACTTTATGACTCCCCCCTCTAAATTTAAACAAAACAACAACAAAAAATGGCAATAGACATGTCAAACTCAGAGCATCTCAAAGCCTCTGGATGCGTCTAATAAGCATTAAAGCCCAGGCTCAGCAAGAGACTAACATCAGACACCACATTCTGTTCAACAACCTAACATTTCCTCCCAGGGAAGGCAGGCTAACTTGGGAAGAGGGGAATAATGGAGAACCACATGTTTTGACTAGAACCCACTTGGGAAGTCCGAATCTTTCCTTATACGAGAGCATGAGCCTGGGGACCGGATGTCATAGGTGCTCCTGTACTTACTGCCTTTTGCTTGTCCCCACTCCCCCTTGTATTATTATTATTTTTCTAAATATATTTTATTGATTTTTTACAGAGAGGAAGAGAGAGGGATAGAGAGTAAGAAACATCGATGAGAGAGAATCATTGATCAGCTGCCTCCTGCACACCCCATACGGGGGATGTGCCCGCAACCAAGGTACATGCCCTTGACCGGAATCGAACCCGGGACCTTTCAGTCTGCAGGCCGATACCCTATCCATTGAGCCAAACCGGTTTCGGCCCCCTTGTATTATTTACCTTGAGAAGCTTTCCGGGGGGAGGGGGGGGAGTCATGTGAGGTTAAGCATCTTACAAATGGGAAACAAAAATCTTCTTAAAAAAATGCATCTCAAAACACAGCACAGAAGACCCCCCCCATCCCTCTCTCCACTCACCTGGGAAAGCGTGTGGATTGGGCGACCCTCTCTTAAGGCACTTAGAACAGAGGATGTGCACCGTGTAGTGCAGTCCAGGCCATTCCTGAAGCAGGACGTTCAGTTCTTCCACCAAGGGGGTGATGGCTTGCCATGCCGTCCATATGTTCGGTAACGAGGCGTGGCTGGCGATGGACAGGGTATCCGGCTGCAGGGCCCCCTTGGCGGGTCTGTAGCTCACCACCACAGGGACCTTCCCTCGGTAGGCGAAGATCTGAAGCTTCCCGTCCGACCTCTGCACCACGTGGCTGTTGATCTGGACGCTGTAGCGTGCAAACAGCCCCGGCGGGAAGGTGAAGGGGAAACTGTACTCAATCTGCAACTGCTCGGCCACAAAGGACTGCCCGGCCAGGTTGGTCCCGTTAATCCAGGCCTCGGCGTGGGGCACCTCGTTCTGCACGTAGCAGGGGAACTTGTACCAGGCGGTGGACCCGTTCAGGGGCTTGCCCTTGGGTTTGTTGAGGCAGTAGCAAAGCCCCATCTTCTCCAGCAGCTCCAGCAGCAGCTGCAGATCCTGCTGGGCCTGGACGTGAGGCTTCAGCAGCAGCCGAATGGCGTGGGCCGGCAGGAGCCCGTGAAGCAGGAAGCCCTCCACGTAATGGTGGAGCTGGGTGGCCCGGAGCAGGTCCTGGCTCAGCGGCGGCGGCGGTGGCACGGCCATCACCAGGGAGCTCTCCCCGTCTCCCTCGCCCTCTCCGCTGGTCCCAGCGAGCAGCTTATGCAGCAGCAGGGAAGGATCCCTCTGGAAGAAGACGTTGAGGATGTCGATGAGGCGGCTGAGGTTGTGGAAGACGTGCTCCTTGAGGGCAGGGCTGTCCTCGAAGTAGAGCAGCTTGCCGCTCTCGTGCAGGTAGGACAGGGCGCTCTGCAGCCGGTCCTCCGTCAGGCCCGCCTGCAGGCCCAGGCGCGCCGAGTCCCACCAGCTCAGCCAAAGCCGCTGCGCCTGCGGCGGCTGGAAATGCAGCTCCTCCAGCACCTGCCAGGACCGAGGCAGCACTCGGTGCAGGTTGGGGAAGATCTCCCGGTGCTCGGCGACCGACAGCAGCTTGTCCCGGAGGCGCTGCAGCTGGCGGGGGTCCCTGCAGCTCACGGGCAGCACCGGGGAGAGGATCTGCAGCCGGTGGTTGAGCAGGTACTGGAAGTGCGCCTTGCGCCGCCGGAGGTTCTTGTCCGAGACGCCGTAGTAAGCGGCGTGCGGGCTGGCGCAGCGCAGCTCGAAGTCGCGGGCCAGCGCCTCGTCCACCACCCGGGCCAGGCGGCTCAGGCCCTCGGCGTCGCGCTTCTCCTGCAGGGCGATCTGGCGGTGGATGTCCAGGCACTTCTCCTCCAGCTCCCTCTCCGCGCACAGGTCCGCGTGCGTGCCCACGATGCACACCACGGCGTGGGGCACGCGGGCCCCCACGCGGTGCAGGAAGGAGCCCACGGTGGTGGGAAACTGCGGGGGCTCGTAGGTGGCCAGGTTCACCACCAGCACGTACAGGGCCCCCGGGGACAGGAAGAAGGGCTGGATCACCTCGTAACTCTCGTCCCCGGCCAGGTCGTACACAATGAACCGCAGGCCCCGGGAGGCGTCGGCCGTCCAGCTGGTCACCTCGATGCCCTTGCTCGTGGGAGGCGGCGGCGGCGGCGGTGGAGGAGGCGAGTAGCCCTTCTCCTGGTCGCCTCCTTCGCCGGAAGCCTCCACCCGGTGCTCGGTGAGGCAGTGGCGGAGCAAGGTCTTCCCCGCGGCCTTGTGGCCCATGAGGAGCAGCTTGAGGCGGGGCTGCACGGCCGGCTGGGAGTGGGCCAGCTCCTTCTGGTAGGCCGCGATGTAGGGGATCCCCTTCATGCAGACCTCGTAGGGCGGCTGGATCAGCGGGTTGTCCTTGATCTTCCACAGGCCCACGCGGGAGAGCTGGCCGAAGTTGTCGGGCAGCACGGCGATCTGGTTGCCCTGCAGCACCAGCTCCTCCAGGCCCGTCAGCTCCACGATGGCGTCGGGCAGGTAGCGGATCCGGTTGTTGTCCAGCCACAGGGTGAGGAGCCGGCCCAGGCCGGAGATGAGGGAGGGCACCGAGGTGAGCTGGTTGCGGCTCAGGTAGAGTTCTTCCAGGCCGGCCAGGGGCAGCAGCGCGGCGGGGAACTCCTCGAAGAGGTTGGAGGACAGGTTGAGCATTTTGAGCCTCTGCAGGCGGCTGAACTGGGCGGGCAGGGCCTGCAGCCTGTTGTTGTCCAGCATGAGGCTCTCCAGGCTGGCCAGCTCACAGAAGCCCTCGGGCAGCGTGCCAAGCTCGGCCCCGCTCAGCCAGAGGATCTTGAGGGCACGCAGGGCACTGATACCCTCCGGGAGGCCTCGGAGCCGGTTGCTGGACACGTCCAGCTCCTCCAGGGCAGCCAACTGCAGCAGCTGGCCCGGGAACGCAGTGAGCTGGTTGTGGTCCACGTCCAGGGTGCGCAGGCGGCAGAGGCAGGACAGGGAGTCGGGCAGGTGCGCCAGGCGGTTGAAGCTGACGTCCAGCTCCTCCAGGTGGGCCAGCGCGCCCAGCTGGGCGGGCAGGGCGGGCAGCTGGTTGTGGCTGAGGTTCAGCTTGCGCAGCTCGCGCAGGGCGCTCAGCACCTCGGCGCCCAGGGCCGCCAGCCGGTTGTGGCTCACGTCCAGCTCCGTGAGGCGGTGGCCCAGCTCGGCCACGGCCGGGGGCAGCCTGGCAAAGCGGTTCCTCCGCAGGACCAGGACGCGCAGGCTGCCCAGCGCCGAGCCCAGCCCCTCGGGCACCTCCTCCAGGCCGTTGTTCCCCAGGTTCAGCACCTCAACGTCCCCGAGGTTGGCCGGCAGCACGAGCTGCGGGGGGGAGCTGTCGGGGGAGTCGTCGATCGGATCGGCCCCGACCCCCGGGCAGCTAAGGGTGAGCTGGCGCAGGTTGCTCCGCAGCTTCCTGGCGCGCAGGGCGGCGTCCCGCCACAGCCGCACCGTCTTCAGGTTCCCGCCGTCCTTCCCGGCCATGGCGGGGCCCCGGGCCCACAGACACCCTCGCTCACAGCTCCATGCCGGGCGGGCGCCGGGCTCCGGGTCCCTCTGGCTCCTCTCTCCCCACCAGCCCTCCGCGATCGGCGGCGGCGGCGGGTCCTAGCGCAGCAGCCAGCGGCCGGGCGCCCGCGGCTGGGGGGCGGCGGCGGCGGCGGCGACGCGAGCAGCTCCGGGGGGCGCCGAGCCTGCGGGGCGGGGGGCGGCGGCGGCCGGCGGGGAGTGCCGCTCGCGTGCTCCTGCCTCCGGGGCCATGGGCGCGCCCGCCGGGAGGATGCCCGCGGCTCCGCCTCCGCTCCGCCCGCCGCGCGCTGCAACCTCCGCCGCGCCCGCCGCTCCGGCTCCGCTACCGGCGCAGCCGCGGCCCCGCGGCCCGCAGCGCCGGCGCCTCCGCGAGCTCCGGGAGGAGGGCGGCGCCTGGCGCGGCGGCGGGCATGGTGCGCGCACAGGCCGGAGTGCAGCGGGGAGGAGGGGGCGGCGGCGGTCCCTGCTTTCCCGGGGCCCCGGCGCTGGGAGGGCGCGATCGGGAAGCGGCAGGCAGCGCCGCCCGGCGGCCCGGCCCCCACGTGACCGGGGCGGCGCCGCGGGTTCCCGGCACCGCCCCGGGGGCGGGCGCCCCGCGCGGGGACCGGGCGCCTGGCCGGGTGCGGGCCGCTGGGCGGGGGCGTGAGTGCGGGGAGCGAGGGCCCCGGGCCCTCGTGTTTGCATTCGGTGCGCTCCGGCTCTTTGTTGCCCCCCGAGCCTCCAGGGACTTCTTTCCCCTCCGGGTGCGGAGGCTGCGCTGTCTCCCTTTCCTCATTCTTGACCGCCCCCCCCCCCCTTCCGCTCACCCTGCATCCATCCACAGGGTCCTGGAACCGGCAGGATTCAGGGGCCTGGGTTTCATGGTGGTAACTAATCACTACACAAAAGGAGACATGCAAACAGCCATTCACTCGTCTGATATGTGTATGTATTGAGGCCCTGTGTTGTGCCAGACCAGCTGAGACAGGTTCTCGGAACACCTTTGAGAAGGCTCTCCGCAGGCCTGATTGGGGGTTGGGCTGCGGGGTGGGGGACAGTGTGCTTGGTAAAGCACAGTGTTTTATCTGGGGGGTTGGGGGGGCGGGCAGAGGGGACCCCATTTATCATTACTACAACCTGGGAGGTAAGTACCATCAAACTTAACAGCCCAATGCTCCACTCCTAAGGTTGATATTTTCCTTTTTGAGGAAGTTTCCTTGTCACATCGATGCTAAGTAAATAATTCCTTCAGAATTGGCCAGAATCTTAAGACTTACTGAGTCTCTGGGTATCGCCTTCCTCACTGCCTCCAGTTTAGTTCATAATGAAGCAAATTCTTTTTGAAGACGTAAAACTGAATTAATTGGTTAAATCCACCACTTAACACTTGTGACTGCATGGCAATGCTGTCCTTGGGGGACCCATATCCAGGTGAGAGGGCATGGGTCCGGTGGGCAGGCAGGGGTCCGGTGGGAAGCAAAGGCAGGTGGAACAGGGGCGGGGGCAGACAGGGCAGTTTGAGCAAGCCTAAGCACAGAAACCAACCATGCAGGAATCTCAGACTGTTTTTAGACTCAGAGCCAGAGGCATGTGAAACTAAGGAGGGACAGCAACAAAGAGGTGAACTGACGCATAGAAACGGAAATTTCAGGCCCTTACCAGGCAAGAACCACTGAGGGAATCTATCAAGTGGTGACACAGGCTTGTAGCACATATATACACGGGTGCAGGCAGTCTGAATCCGCTTGCAATAAGTTTCCCATGCATCTGCTTAAATCTTCCGAGATCTCATTCTTCAGCTTCGGGACATGGCAGGGGAACAACTCAGTTTGCCGTTCCAGTTATCACTGGGGCAGTTATTGCAGTTATTTTAGTAGTTATAGTTTGTCTCTTCAAAAAGAGCTGGAAATTCGCCCCAGGGATGGTTATCAAGCCTGGCTCAATGATCAAATGTCCAGCTTTTTGAGGGTACAGTCCCGATTTTTAACAATTTGTCCCGAGTCCCGCGGCATTTTAAAAGTCCCGATTCATTTTTAAAACGCTGCGGGACGCGGGACAAATGGTTTAAAATCGGGACTGTTCTGCCAAAAGCAGGACATCTGGTCACTTTATCTTAGGACAATGGTTGGCAAACTGCAGCTCGAGAGCCACATGAGGCTCTTTGGCCCCTTGAGTGTGGCTCTTCCACAAAATACCACGTGTGGGCACGCATGTACAGTGCGATTGAAACTTGGTGGCCCATGCGCAGAAGTCGGTTTTCGGCTCTCAAAAGAAACTTCGATCGTTGTACTGTTGCTATTTGGCTCTGTGGACTAATCAGTTTGCTGACCACTGTCCTAGGATGTGCCCTGGGACAGGTTGGTCCCAACTATGGGTATATTACCAGGGATAGCTGAGCAGTGTGTACCTGAAGGATTTCCTGGAAGATCAGATTGCTGGAATATTCCTTGGCCTCCCACCCCAAGAAATATTCTAAATTATCTAGACTAACTTTTTTTTTTTTTTTTTTTTCACATAAAAGAAATCAGGCCCAAGACATGAAGCAACTTCCTAGCCAGGTAAAGGGTAGTCAGGTGTGTCAACTCCCCTTATGGAATGATTCCCCTGAAGGTGTTACCTTTGTGGTCAGACCCCAACTCTCCATCTTTGGCTCCTCCTAACTCCAATCTGAACCTCAGCCTGCAGCAGGAGCTGGAGAAGGCATCGGCTTCCTACCTTCAGTGGCTGAATTGAAGCCCTAGAGTGGTTTGGATTCCATCTAAGTAACCTGTGCTAAGCTGGTCCCCTTTGGAAGCCATCAGAAAATTACACTTCCATTTTAAGCGTCTCTGAAAATTGTGCTCTTGCTCTGCCAGAAGATAATGTGCCATTTGCTTTATCTAACGAAGAGAGCTCACGAAGTCCAGACAACACCCTGTTTGGGGCCACTCCTAGCCCTCCCAGGACCCAAGCCTGGTGTGCATGCGTTTGCTCAGCAGCAATATTCTTTTTTTTTTTTTTTTAATATATTTTATTGATTTTTTTACAGAGAGGAAAGGAGAGGGATAGAGAGCTAGAAATGTCGATGAGAGAGAAACATCGACAAGCTGCCTCCTGCACACCCCCTACCGGGGATGTGCCCGCAACCAAGGTACATGCCCTTGACCGGAATCGAACCCGGGACCTTTCAGTCCGCGCAGGCCGACGCTCTATCCACTGAGCCACACCGGTTTCGGCAGCAGCAATATTCTTTTTGAGCCCCTTGGCCTGCTGTGTGCTGTTGCCGCCAATGTTGTGGGAAGCCTTGCTGCATAAAGTATTGTCTGAGAGTTCATTCTTTGAAAGTTAGATCAGGAGAATACCGTGTGTCCAGTGTGGCTCTTAAACCCGGACCAGAAGGATCCTGCCCTGGACTCCCAGCCTGGTCCTCCTCCTGCCACATCCCACTCCTTGTGGTAAAATTTCTGATGGGCTGAGGGGCAGGACGGGCGAGCCCCTGAAGCCTTCTAGAATGGGCTTGGCGTGAAGGACACTGAAATCCCTGTGCAAACAGCCTCCAGCTGGCTTGCAGGAGGCGGGGCAGTCTTTCAGAGCCATTCCGGAGTTAAGTGGCCATTGGAGGCCTCTAGAGTGTGGGTGGAGTTGACTGTCCCTCTGTGTCCATAGGCTCCTCATTGTGCTGGATGGAGCCCAGGTTAGGATGAGAGGGGGCATGGGTAAACCACATTTGCTAGCCTTCTATAGCACAATTAAAGATTTAAACATATGGTATATGGGCCTTCATTTGTAGTCCTGCCTCAAGCCTGTGGCCCTGGACCTGTCAGGATCTTCCTAAAAGCATAAAATGATCATCTCAGTTTGGAGTAGAGGGATTCTGATTATTTGATGTTTTCTTGACTTGGATATCTATCCAATGCCATGGTCCTAATCTATAAACTTTCCCAAATCTTTTCAATAGATTTTTATTTACTTCAGAGAGAAAGGAAGAGGGAGAGAGAGAGACAGAAATATCAATGATGAGAATCATTGATCGGCTGCCTCTTTCACACCCCCTACTGAGGATCGAGCCCATCATCCAGGTATGATCAGGAATCGAACAACAACCTCCTGGTTCCTGGTTCATAGGTCTATGCTCAACCACTGAGCAGTCATGCCAGTCAGGCTCCCACATCTTTTCATTTCTCCTGTTTTTCTTACTCTGAGGCTGTTTTCATTTTAGTCAAAGCCCTATGATAGCAATTATATCCCATGCACATTGGCTTCCTCCCAGAGTGCAGACGCGCTGTTAGGGCACAAGTCTTTTTTGTGAAATGCATTGTGGGCATTAGTTTTTCATTCAAATACCCGTCAATAGCAGTGTGGATGGTCCCAGGCAGCTCCAAGGAAGCTTTCATCCCTCATTTACTTTGTTCTGCCTTCAACATACTTGACTTTCTTCCATCTTGACAGATTTTTTTCTTGACCTTGCTAACCTCCTCGCTACTGTCTCATTGCCTTATTTCCTTTCTCTGTCAAATATCTTACATAAGTGGTCTGGGGCCAGTCTGGTTGTCTCCACTGGTCCCCTGCTTGGACCCAGTCATCTGGCTTCTATCCCTAGTAGCCAGCATATTGCTCTCTAGAAGGTTCACTCACGCTTCTTCCTTCCTTGACCTCCCATCATTGAAAATGTTAGTAACTTCTTCACCTCCTTGATTTTAACCATTTTTTGTTTTTGTTTTGATTTTGTTAGATGAAAGTGTAGGCAATCCAGGGAAAGACAGAAAGAGGAGGAGAAAGGCTCGTCCCTCTAAAAGGTGTTAGGCCTGTTCCAAAGAAGAGGATTAGAAATAAAAATAAAGGCAAATGTGGCCAAAATCGGTGTGGCTCAGTGGATAGAGCATCGGTCTGCAGACTGAAGGGTTCCAGGTTCGATTCCGGTCAAGGGCATGCACCTTGGTTGCGGGCACATCCCCAGTGGGGGGTGTGCAGGAGACAGCTGGTCGATGTTTCTCGTT